TTCCGTAGTGATACTGCCTCGGAAACCCAAGGAGGGGTCGCTATGAGTCGGGGCCGACTCGACGGCACATAACAACAACAACAACAAATGGGGATATGTTAGCTGCTAAGTAAACATATTTATATCTTAGCATTAGAAGTCAAGGGCATGACTCTTGAATTTTAACAATTGCTGTATGAATGTTCCCATTCTTCGTGTGCCTCTTTGTTGATAACCTAAAATATAAATATATTTTCAATTTGGGGCTTTGATTCCAACTGTTTTAACTTGTAAAGCATTTTATTTTAATATTACAAGAAAGATTTATATTGTGTTTTAATTCATTTTAAGGATATTGTAACTCGAAATGTTATTTCCTTTTTCAAGTTACAGCTTGCCTTTTAAACTGTATCATTTTGTACTTGCAGTATTCCTTTGAGTCTTATTTTAAAATAAACATATTCTTTATGTAGGAAAATGACATGCATAGCAAAAACTACATTAACTTATTTTTCTTTTTCTAGCCAATACTGGCCCCTCTTTGTTCTGTTTTTTTACATCCTTTCACCTATTCCATACTGCATAGCAAGAAGATTAGTGGATGATACAGATGCTATGAGTAATGCTTGTAAGGAACTTGCTATATTTCTTACAACAGGCATTGTTGTCTCAGCTTTTGGACTCCCTATTGTTTTTGCCAGAGCACACCTGGTAAGTAATGAACTTCTTGGATATATTCCTCTATTAATGATTTTATAGTTTATATTATATACTAAATTTCTCTCAACACAAAAAGTTTTTGTTAAATAGCATGAAAGAGAGATGAGAGACATAGGAGTCTGGAAGACAGAGATGAAAATCACACTTTAGTTGGTAACTGATTAAAGTGCTATTGGTGAGTTTGGTCTGGGTCTACAGTAACAGTTGGCTTGCCAATCTCCACTCTCAGGATTTGGCATATCAACTCATGCAGTGCTGAGCAACCCAGAGGCCTGCCCTGTCAGACTTAAAGTAGAAGACCTGAGGAGATTGATTGTCTTCAGGTGGGAAAATACCAAAAAGAAGAAGGGCTACATATATTTAGAACTTCCTCTCAAACTCATTGTCATACCCACCTCTCCATCTCCAGGGAGGCAGAGAAATAGAGGACAGGAAATGGCCACCCTTCCATATGGAGAAGGGAATAACCACCTGCTCCTATAAAAGAATGCACATGAGTGTATTTTCATCTCTGAAATTTTCATCCACTCCAGATAAAATTTTAACTTCACCAAGGAAGAGTTAGAGAAAATTTCTTCATAACAGAAAATTGTAGAACTGTGCTGCCTCCTCATAGCCCAGAAGTGAAGCTTGCATTTGAATAATTATCATTCTCCTTGACTTTCTGTCTTTTTAAAGGAATGGAACATTTAAAAAAACCAATATACAGATACCATTAAGTGTTCCATATTATGAGAGTTGTTTATTACAAATCATACTTGTTTGAGTTTATGATTGGCACACAGCTAGAGCCTTGATTTGCTTTCCATTTTATCTTTGTTTTTCATATGTTTATTAACTGAGTGTTTGTATCTTATTTCTATAGATTGAGTGGGGAGCTTGTGCACTTGTTCTCACAGGAAACACAGTCATCTTCGCGACTATACTAGGCTTTTTCTTGGTCTTTGGAAGCAATGATGACTTCAGCTGGCAGCAGTGGTGAAAACGAATTGCTGAACTATTCTGAAATGAACTTCTTGTCATTTTTTGGCCATCCATGCAAACAAGAGATTGGGCGATAATGTTCAATGGTATAGCAAGCCTCCTGGGGGTATTCTAGGTGCTCCCTTTTCACTTTTATTGTAAGCATACTATTTTCACAGAGACTTGCTGAAGGATTAAAAGGATTTTTTTCTTTCGGAAAAGTTTGATTGAATTCACATTTATCTACAGTATGCTATTTGTGTTGTCCTACTGAATTTAAATATTTATGTATTTTTCCTGTTCAGTTTTTTTTTTTTTTAATCAATATGCAATGTTGAACATTTTTTAAATGTAATAATCATTTTCCTTGGTTAGGAATTCAGAATTTTGCTGGCTGTATTACTGGGTTAAAGTGCATCTTTTCTCTTAAAATTATTTAATCTCCATTGCTATACAAAGTTATAAAAATAAGTTTTCAATCAGTCATGGTGACATCACTCCCAATTTTATGCAAACATGGAGACCATTAGCTTACCTTACAGAATATATATAAAGTGCAAATATAGTTGCATTTATACCTCAGAGGGGCCAAGTATTAATTCCCATGCCCTCGATAAGGGTTTGGTTTTACTGATAGCAGGTGTTTTGTGAATTGAGAATTATTTTATGGAATTGCTACAGAGGAGTGCTTTTCTTCTCAATTGTTAGAAGAATTTATTGTTGAACTTTAAGAGTGTGAAAACTGATTTTTGAGATAGCATTTTTATGTTTCTTGTAGTTAAAATATAAAAAGTGAATTGCATTGTGGGAAGAAATTGTTGAAATTCCGTTTTTTGAATCCTGTTTCTATTTATAAGTGAATTTTTTTTTTTTTTAATTTTCTATCAGCCTTCCATGTTTTATCATGGGTAAAATGGACGTACATGGAACTACTGATGAGGGAAAGTTATATGTTTGCATCATATATACAAGAAAACCTTCCTCTGATTCCCACTTTTAACTTATTTTATACATTGTATATATTAAGTGAAATACCTTTTCAAATATAGTTTAATAACACTTAAAATTAGAAGTGATTAACTCACTTGGAAAATAATTGCTATGCCATACATTCAGAGTGCCCCCTTCCCCCCCAAGGCCTTGACTTGTTTAACAGGAGACTTGTTAGTGTTACAGATGATTCATGCATTAACAATTTAAGGTCTTAGACCATGCTAATTGTAGTTATTCTTCTCTAAGTTTATATCATATGTAATTTAAGAATATTTAAGACATTTCCTGTATATCTCTCCAACTATTTTGATTTCCTCATGATAGATCAGCTGTTTCCTTATATATAAAAGGCATTTATTGTGCAAAGTAGCCGAATCCAGCTGTACATCAGTTTAAGACACAAAACTGACCAAAAATTTCCCAGTATCCAGGCATGATCAAATTGCAGTGGTCATTTGCATCTCAAAATTATCAGTACTTTTTTTCAGGAACTGGTTATGACAGTGTTCAAGTTGGTCTGACAGTATTTTGTTAAAAATATTTGTTTATTCATTATACTTACATAAAAATTGTTTTGCCTTTAGACAAAACTGAATAATCATGAAGGCTATCTTTTGTTTTATAAAGTTTATTTCTCAAGGAAAAGGGAACAAATTTTGGGTTTGTTCGGCTTTTTACTAGATGCCTAAAGCCACAGATTTTATTGCGTAACCCAGGTGGTTTTAGCTGTGAGATGGGAAGCAGGATGAGATAGATGCATGTGGCTGTACCATTTACATAACAGGCTGAAAATGGCTTGCATTGTTACAATCCTCTAGACTCTAGATACATACATATAAAGGAAAGTTTGGGTACCCATGATGAGACAGCTGGTGATAACAATTGGGAAATCTCTGTGCCTGTGACCTACTTGATTTTTTTGCAGGAAATACGTTCTTGAGGTTCCTTTCCGGTTTTCTGTTCTTTTAGAATGTCAGTGCAGTGCACTGCTAATGTTTATTCACTTGGCCATACACTCTTTTTCTAACAGCTGCATATTCTTTCAGTATACTAACTGCATTGACAGCATTGTGTCTTTGATCTTGCACACTGGTTTGACATAGTGCTGTCTTTGATTTTTAGGCTAGTTACTTGAGGTATGAATTTTCCATAGAATATGCACTGATAACAGCATTGCCATTATACTATCGAAAGAAAATTTTTGATGATGAAAACAATAAAGATTTTAAATATCTATTTTAGTTTGTGGGTGTTTTTGAAATGAAAATATACTGCACACTTCAGTTTCTGAGGTACATTAGCCTTTTTATAATGTAATATAAAGAAAGTATGACAGTTATGTTATACTGCCAAATTAAAAAAGTGAAACCATAGTAGCAAATACTGTAGTCCTCTGATTTTGAGGTTTAGTAAAACAATTGGTAATCTGAGGAAGTAGAATTTTTGCCTAGCCTTTGGTAAAAACAGTTACAGAAGGTGGTTTTTTGACATAAAAAACTATTAACTATCTAAAGCCAAGGTCCTACTTGTACTTAAATTTTCACAACTTTTTTATGACCATTCATTATCAGAGAATCATTTTGAGTAATTTTTTTAATGTTTCAAACAGTAAAGATGAAAACTTACTCTGTGTGCTATAAAAGTGCTGTTTTTTTTTAATCAAACATGAATCTTGTCCCAAATTGTCCAAATTTTAATATCATATACTTACAGAAAGTTTAGATTGTAGATTCTTAGTGTCTGCTTCAGTATGGTTTTGTGAACATTGTCAAAATAATCCAGATTTTGAAAGTAAACTCTAGAATATATATATATATTGAATGTGACTAAATCCATAAATTCCAGATGACTTTAAATCAGTGCGTCCAACTTAACAAGCAGCCGTGCAGTAAGTTTATAGGAAATTCATATTTCTTCCATATTAGCCTATTTTGTCCTTTCTCTCAGTGGAGATTAGAGAGCTCTTACCTTATTACAGGCCTCCTAACTTTCTGGCATGAAAAAGCATATATTCAGGAAAGAGAATGTACCCTGCAAATAAATATTGCAGATAACTGAAGCTTAACTCATTAAGAACTAACATTTGTTTTAACATTTTAACAAAAGTATTAATTAGATTATCATTTATGTGCTTTCTTAGAGTATATTAAAACATTTTAATTTTTCCTTGGTAATTTAGGATTATCATTATAAATTATTTTCCTCCCATTTTAAATGGCCTCATACCTGTATTTTTCTGGAATTGTGTTTTTCTGGCTTTGCTTGCAACTGAATATTTGTTCCTAGCGCTCCTAAGTTTTGTTTCTAATTTGCTAATCTCAATGTATTAGGAAGAATGGTACCTACTTCAAAAGATGGTTGGGAGGTTTAAATGTGACATACAGAGGGCTCATAGAGATAGATTGTGAAATGGTACTTGTTGTTACTTTCGCTGTTATTACCAGTTCCCTGTACTACTAATCAGTTCCTGCTTCCCAAACACAGACAGAAACTTTATTTAAAAAGTAGATCTATCTTGGAGATGCTATAACCACTTTGTTCCCAGTTATTTGTTGTCATACTTCAAGTTAATCAAGATTATGTAGTAAACACTGCCAGGGTGCTGTGATGTGTGCTTCCAAAGGACTACCTACATACACATGGTCCCTCTGCCTCCACTCCTGCACTAAACCTTGGAAAGGATATGCGTTTTTTTTTTTTTTTTCCCTTAAGAATAGAGAAATACATTGCCAAACAAAGCAAGAAGGGGAAGTCTTGGTGGATCTGAAACTAAGAAATCCTTGAGAAAATGAAATCAGACGGGATCAAATTAAAGAGAGAAAATGCAACCTAAGATGTTTGTGGCAAGCACGTGGGAGAGCACTACCATAAAAGGTGGGAGCCATGCAAGGAGGCAGGTGATCACTGCTAGCAGTGGAATGCAGGAGCAGGAAGGGACTGACAGAGGCAACTTCCAAGGGGGTTATTTGGGCTACTTCTGGGCAAACAGCCAAGCCAGCAGATCCTTATTCCTTATGCAGATCAACACATACACTACCCTATTTCACACCATCCAGTCTGGGGGGAGGTAGAGAACACATTTTCACAGTACTAGCGGTGAGAGTATCCAAGTCTAGGAGACCACTATCTGGGATACCCTACTCAGTGGCACATCCTTTTCATCCCTAACACCACCACCACCACCACTCCCCCAAAAAAAACTTGCTGTGGAGTTGATTCCAACTCATAAGCCACCTGAAAACATCATGCCTCTCCTCGGAGTCAGGCTGCACAAGCAAGGGTGGTGGATAGTCTAGCCAGGGGATCTCAGCTGGAAAGATGAGTTCCCAACCAGGAATCACCAAACAGTTGAGGGGTACCAAACTCTTGAAAGAAAGCAAACAAAAATGTGTAATTGAAGAAGAAGAAGGTAAACAGGACAAAAAGAAGCTCCATGGTTACAGCTTTTTTACCTGCCCATATGACCATACCAAAATCATGCTGATAAAGTTAGAGAACATTTTACACTTTTGCACAAGTTCAATTAAGATTTCCCTGCATCCCAAGCCCTGGGGAAAATACTCAATTTTGTTTCCTCCAAGTCTTCATATAACAATGGATTATATTCATAGACTCCCAAACCCACTGCCATCGAGTTGATTCCAACTTCTAGGACTGAGTAGAACTGCCTCAAGACTTTAGATACGGAAGCAGACTGCCTTACCTTTCTCCACCAGAGTGGCTGGTGGATTTAAACTATTAACCTTTTGGTTAGCAGGCAAATACCTTAACCACTACAACACCAGAGCACCACCAAAGCTGCTTTGCATGGCCAGTAAATCAAAAAACCCAAATCCACTGCCATCGAGTCAATTCTTACTCATAGTGACCCCCAGTGGGTGTGTGAGGCAGTAAATTTTTGCAGAAGTAGATTTCCTGCTTCCAACCTGGTTAGCAGTCTGATGCCTTAGGCACTGTGCTACCAGAAATCCTTGCCTGGGCTATTAAAAAAAAAAAAAAAAAAAAAAACCACCTCACTGCTGTCAAGTCATAGAACCCCTCCTTGCGTTTCCGAGGTGGTATCCCTGCGGAAGTAGATTGCCCAATCTTCCTTCTGAGGAGTGGCTGGTGGGTTTGAACCACCAGCTTTCTGGTTAGCACTCAAATGCTACACCACCAGAGCGCCCATTGCATGGCCTATTAAAAAAAAAAAAAAAAACTGCTGTCAAGTCCATTCAACTCGTAGCAACCCCTCCTTGGGTTTCCAAGGTGGTATGTAGCATAGTGGCTAAGGCACTTGACTGCTAACCAGAAGGCTGGCGGTTCAAACCCACCAGCCACTCCTCGGA